TGAGTGTAACACAAATTCTCTAAAGATCTGGCTCAGCATTCCTTTTCCTTCTTTTGTACTTCAAACAAAAGCTACATTTTTAAAAGCTGACCTTTCTTAATTATTTTCTAATAGCAGTTGGCTTGAACAGCTAGGAAAATGTTATATAACCAATTTCTGTGATTACACTGCTGAAGTTGAAGGAATGTCACTATTGGGTTTAATTAAAGCCCCACACATCTACACTCTGCCTGTCTTTGTCTTCCTTCTTTGTTGACTGCTGTGAAATGTCATGGCTTTGATATGCAGAGCCATGTTGTTTAGTTCAGCAAGATCTTTTCAAGAAGCCATTGTTCCAAAGATTATTTCCACCAAGGAGTTGATGTTGACTACTTCTCTACCCCATTCCCAAATACTTTTATGCTCTGTTTCTTTCATTAATTGAATTGTTTTCCAGTGTTTTTCTGGGAAAGCCAAATTGTCCTATACCTGGTTAGTAAAAACTTAATGTAATTGTGATGGGATCAAGGTGGTTTTGAGGATAGGAGAAAGTATGAGTGTAGAAATTTGTTCTTGATCCTGAAGCTACTATAATCATTTAGTCCATTTTGGGCTTTCCCAAATCCTAAGGCATCTAATCCAACAATCCAGTGGTTTAAAGACTGTCTATGACCAACACTGATCCACTTTTAAGGAAGGAGTATGTTCAGTTGAACTTTTTCCAGGAGCTCCAGAATCAACCACATCAATTCTGTGGACCTGTAGAAAACAAGTGATGTCCTCTTTCATCAATAACGATAATGGAATGATCAGCTTAGCCTTGGAGCCAGAGTTGTTATAACATGAAGCAGAAGATTGGTTCTCCCAAATAGTAGTTGTGTTGATCCATACAACTTCACTCCTGAACAAGAATATATGTCTAAAATGTGTTAATGATCAGTCTCTCAGAACTACCCCTTTTTAATTTTTGTTTAGAGTCTTTTATATTTGAATTGGGGTAATTTTGTTCTGAACCTTCTAATCACTACAGTTCCCTTAAAACTCATTCCCACCTTGAGTATTGCTCTCTTTAGTGGGATCCAAGGCAAAAATTTGTTCACTTGTAACTATTCTGTTTTTTTCCATACTGCTTCTTTTTTGTTATAACTAAGTAAATAGGTTATAGGGGAAAACAGAAAAGCTGAATTGTGATCTTTGATTTGAAGTGCTAGGTATTGGCAGAAATTACTCTTTGTGTTGTATCTTAGAAGTGGTAAAAAATAATTCCGTCTCCTGTCAACATGTATTTCTACACATCTGACATGAGATTGTTGAGATAATTCAGTCGCATGTAAGGGCTAATTGTCATTCTCATTCGTAAAGTTATGATGCTTTTCTTGCCTCAGCTACCAATATGTTTAACATCTTTGTCTTTCTTTTTGTATAATGTTTATGTTAGAAATAATGCCATAGATAGGCTGGAGTACTACTGCATCCCCCAATCATTTTATGCTTGCCTCTCTCTCCCTACTTCTGATGAATCATCAGATCTTTCAAGGGTCCAGATTGCTTTGGGATCTATTTGTGTGTGTGTATGTGTGTCAAAAAATCAAGATGGCAGCCACAACTGTGGGCCCTTAGTTACATGAGTTGCATGCACAATGCATGTAAAAAACGGGCAGAACTTCAATCCAACAGTCACAACTGCCCTCTTGACTCTTTTCATACACCCAACCTGAAATCCCTGGATTTAATTAAGTATTAAAAGGACTGGGCTGCAGAAGTTCAATCCTGAACCCTTCCATAAGGTGAAAGAATAACTCTGGAACATGGAGGAGGGAAAGGGGTCAACAGACTTGTCTCTGGACTCCTTCCCCCAGAATGGTAACGGTGTTGTGGTCGTGAGGGATGATGGAATCAAGCTTTTGTTCCTTTGCTGTCAGCCTCTTCCACTCTTTCATTCACAGCCATTACAGTCAAGAGAACAAGTTAAGCTTATACCAAGAGACTGATAGCTGAAGGATTCCTCTGCCACAGGACTATTACACGAGGCCTTATGTGCTGTAGTTCAGAGAAGAAACCCTCAGCAAATGCACAGT